ATTAGATAATATGATTCTCATAAACAAAAATGTTCTTGGTCTGCAGTAATTAATATAAAGAGTACTAATGCTGGTCTACTGAAGTAAAAGTCAAGAAAGCTATCTTCAAGCAGAATATGTATTTTCTAGTTTCAAGAATTTCCACTATTAACTATGCCAGATACAGAAAGTTCTCTGTAGAAATGTCCCAAGACCCAGATGGGGAAAGAAAAGAATATTTTCAAAAATAAGATTAGTAAACTAAGGAATAAAAATACCATTCAACTCTGCAGTTACTAGTATTCTATATTTACCATACAAGAAACAACAAACACAAAACTATTTATAATCAGTTATGCCTTAAGAGCTACAAAGACAACTAAAAAATAAACCAGTCTTTATTGAGTTCAGAATCTTGTCGGAAAAAAAAATAATCAATAACAAAGCGAAATAAAACTTATGAAGAACAACAGACAAAGCAGAGGATTTTTTTTTCCTTTTTCTTTTTTGTTTTTTTGGAAGGGAGCTTTCTCTGGAATGAACCCAGGGCCTTGCACATGATAGGCAACAAGCACTCTACCTCTGAGTTACACTTACAGCCTTGACAGATATGATTTTGAGACAGGATCTCACTAAGTTGCCCATTTGGCCTCAGACTATCAGAATTTTCTTTAAATGGAGGCCCTCTACAGAGGTGGCATATGAGTTGACCCTAGGGACAAAAGCTTTGCCACCTGGAAAAGAAACTTAAGCATTCATTAGTGTATGGAAAGAGCTCCATCTGAAAAAATGAAGCACAGCAACACAATTACTTAAAAATTATAAGTAATCACTTCAAAGATTAAAAACTGCAGTAAGTAGAAACTTTCACAGAATGTGACATAGTAATTTCATACCCACGGAATTTAATGAGGAAATATTTGGACTTTTAGCCTGTACATCTTTTGCTTAATTACCAATCTGTCACAGACAGAAGCTCTTTAGAAGTATATTTAAATTAACTAAGGAAATGAAAACACAAAAATGGATCCTTCACTACAGGTATATTGAGCAATACTAACTTAGGAGACAGTCTTCTATATGGCAGGAAGAGCAGAGAGAGAGAGCTGGTCATATCCAGAAACATGGGTCCAAGCTAGAAGCTATCACAGCTTGAACTTTGAACAGCCTTTTTAAAAGCAAATGCAAAAAGGAAATCAGTGGGGTCTGAAAATTACTGGCATGTCTCTAATACAGAAAAGGAAATCTTAGTTATCTAAATAAAATGCATAATAAGCTCTACTTTTAGAAACATCAATTTCAGATGTGCAAACTGCAGACTGACATGGATGAAAGGCAAATGTGCAGAAAATCAAGGAGAATATCAGGTTTACTGTAGTTGATTCAAGTAAAAAAGACCACGGTCTGTGTAAGAAAAGAATAGAAAATGACAGTTTGATCAAGAAAAATTTTAATTATCTGAATTACTTCATTTGAAACATAAGAGAAAAAAATCTGAGTTGATATGGAGGCTTACTATCATCGGGATTTTTCCTCCCGAAATAATATTAGTTATATTTAAATTAAAGTATTAAGTAAAAGTCTTAAGGAATTCTTCAAAGGTACCAAATTTAAAAGAAATGTTAACTTATTTGAATGCTCTCCATTATAATAGTAAGTTAGGATTGACAGGAAGGGCTGTTATTTTTCTATGCTCATTATGCTATGGAATCTTATGCTCATTATGGAATCACTGAGTGGCCGTTGATCAGAAGTAACACATGTACACTGGAATTTTAGGAAGTTCTAGTGGCTCTGAGACTGGAGCAAAGACATTAATAAAGGGGAAACGGTAAGGCTCTGAAATAAGATGGTTGGCTGTGATACAGGGAAAAACTAGTGGGTGGAAGCAATGTTTGAAATTATCTGCACTTCATTTGAGCCAAGCATCCAGATTTCCTTACCAGGGCTAAAGCCAAAGGAACACGAATCACACCACCAAGTTGGTTATGACAATTAATTTCAACTAAGATGATATGATTATGAATTGATCTTGGTTTCACCAGTACCATGTTGCACTGGAATACATTATCCAAAGTGTTAGTAAACACAAACCGTTACACTAGTTCCTGATCACTCTTTTGTGATTTTGCTTTTCCATAATTACCACCACTCAAGTTTGGTCAGTACAATACAATAAATCATTGAGAGAGACAAAACTTTAATTATAGCATACTGTCATAACTGACTTATTCTGTTTTAGTTATTATTGATCTCGTATTACGCTAAATTTATAAATTAAACTTTATTGTGTATATAGGGAAAAGTACAGTACCATATGCATAGGATTCTATACTATGCATGATTTCAGGCATCCACTAGGTGTCTCGATATATGTCCCCATGGTTATATGGTAAGAGGATAAAGAGGACCCCTGTCCTTTGAAGAAGGTTTTATAAAGTTTGGGGAAGAAATTTCCATGTATTTACTTAGGTAACTTGGCCAATATCTGGCAATAAAACCCGGCAGAATCAGCTGAATCACAGACTATTTTGATATCTTTATATAAATGCCTCAATGTTTGATATAGTTTTACTACTAAAGACATTTGTTTAACTATCCACCAAAATCATTTACCCAAATGAGGGGAGAAAAACCACAATAAAGAACATTTTTCACTGAAAAATCATGACATGTAACATTAAAAATTTCTTTTGGTGGGAAAATTAATATGTTCAATTATTTACATTAAATTGATTAGGGGTCAATTATCTAATTTTACTCAAGATATTCACTACTTTTATGTCATCAATTTATATCAAAATTAGCTAATTCTACATACTGAGTAGAGTACGGGAAATATGTGGAGTCCTATAAAAAATAAAGTGTAAAATTCAGTTTTTTAGATATGATATAGAATGACTATTTCTTTTGTATTGAGAGCTAATAAATGAGGAAGGGAAATCTAATCTAAGACACAAAAACCTTTAAAAAACACCTCAAGTTTTAAATGGTTCACAATATTCAATAATGAAATTCTTTTTTTAATCTCTGACATCACATTCAATAGGACACTACTATTCTTAAAAATATAATATGAGTGTTTTTGGAGTGTGGTTATATAACAAACTACAGTAAAACCTCATAAAATATATTAATTCAAAGTTTTCAACTTATTAAACATTGGTATGCCAGATTTTCCTTTGGGAATATAATCCCCTGATTATTGGAAACTTTATTGAAATGGTGCCTCATTCAAAATGAAGAACGGCTTAACAGAATACATTATAGAAAGTATACTTGACATATTCACCTTTAAAATCTTGAACTTTAAAAATATGAAAATAATATACAAAGATCACAAGTAAAAATTTGTTTTTACATGTTTTTGAAGCTATACGCTATTCTAAATCTTTTTTGTCTAGAATGAAGATCTTTATTTGATCATTTTCTAAGACTTCATACCTGATGGCTGTCCCTCCTTTATTTACCCAACTAATAATTGATTGTTGCCTATCATTCTGGTAAATGTTTGGTAAAACAACAGTGTTAAAAAAGTAAGAGCAACAAATTAATTATATCATAGAGGCTGCAGAAACACAATGGTACCCAGTTAATGAACTTCATTTGTTTCATGATTTTGGAAGCAATGGCCACATCTGTGTTTGTAGTCCTGTTTGTCACCTGATGCAAAGCTTGCAAATAAAAAAATGTTGCCAAATGCTTCTCTTTGCAAACAAAATTCTACCACTGTACAGTTATAAAGTTTATGTTAATAAAATTAAAAGTTGAGAAAAAGTTTCAATTATCAACTTTGTTTCATCAAATAAGCAGATTTCAGACTACCAGCCAGTCATTAAAACATAATTATACCTGAATGAAAGAATTTTAGTATTTATAAGTAGAAGCCTCATTGATTTAAATTCCACTTTAGAATTAAAAAAAATACATGAAAATGTGAAAAAATGACTAGGAACCAAATAAGTATATACAGTCTTTAAAAATATGTTTTAAAGATTTTCTTGGTGAAATTACAAAAGAAGGTAAGAATTAAGGAAAGTGATTAAAATAATTTCATCACTAAGTCTTCTGAATATCACCATAACAGTGAAGAAAAAGGGGGTCATTCTTACCACTAGACAACCACATTTGAACTGCACAGAAAAAAATTGGCTCAAATTCACCACTTCCTTTTTAAAATATCATGGCCAATTAAAACAATACATTTTAGGATGCTGGATCTGCCATCTCTGTTCACAGTAATTTTCCGTTAGCTTTTCACACTTTACATGGATTGCTTCTGACCAGAAATAAATAGCACAAAGTCCAAAAGCTTAAGGCATTACAAATTCATTATGGTCGTAGCTATACTAGAAAACTGGAGTGTTAATCCAAGCAGAATTAACAATTCTCTCAACTCTACTGTTTACTGCTTACCTAGCTGTGTTATTTAAACCACTGTATCATTTCACAGAAATATCTTGTAAGAGGTAACCATTTTACGTAATTTCAAAAGTAATCATTGACTTATATTATATATATTAAGCACACAATAATAAAACGTGTATTTTCCTCAAAACACTAATTGACTTTTTATCTGAATTCAGGTAGCTATTTCAGGTTTTATATTAATTATCCATTTTCTGCAGGTTTTGGTAAAAAAAAAAAACAAACAAAAAACCCTGTGTATCATTAACATAAATACTATTTCTTCTTCCAAGTCTCCCAATCCCTCTCCAGAAATAATCTGCTCATTATATTCTCAAGAATGTTCTTGTCATTTTTGTAGCATTTAAGCACTTTACTGTATGATTACATTTACTTATTTGCATTTATTCTTTCCTTCTAAGTTCTTAAAGGTAACATTTTATCTCATTCTTTTTTTAAAACCGCACTGCCTAATGGCCTAACACACAGATGAAGCACAAAATACACATTTATTGATGGTAAGCTAATTTACAACCGAGGAAGAATTGTCTGAAATCTATTAAAATGACAATGATTAAGTCCAAAGAACTCAGGAAAAATATTCTCACCATCTGCCCGAGGTTTGAATCTCTCTGCTTTCTGACAAAGGAAATTGAGAAGGCTACTGACAAGCAGCTCTGATGTCATCTGGAGTCTTCAGACTCACTGATTCCTTCAGTCAACTGTGCATCTTCAAGAAGAGAAAAGAAAAAAAAAGTTTAGCAACTATTCCAATCCAGATTCAGGAATATCTTTTGCAGTGTTAAGTAAACCCAGTACCTTTGATTGTTATAGTTAAATGCAGGAATCATTTGACAGGGAAGTTGAAATTCCTTACTACTAGAAGTTTTTAAAATTAAAACAAATGATACTTGTTTTTCATATCCTTTTTATTAGTGCATGTTTGCAATACATAATAATTTCACTCATCTTGGGTAACTGGTATACACACTTCACATCTTAATTATTTTTACTTCTCTTTCGCTTCTCTTTCCACCCTGCCCCCCATCTCCAGATCCCAGGAAGTCTAAGCAAAAGATCCTTGTTTTCTACATACTGACACAAGCAGGTGGTTCTACAAAATAAACAAAAAAGTTTATAGTTGATAAGATGTGCTTATGAACCTTTGCACTTTCAAATTTCTGAGTGTTTTGTCAAATTAATTGAATTATGATTCATCCAAAAAGTCTAAATTCTCCTAAATATATATTTCCATAAACAGGGAAAAAAAATCGAAAATACAACAACAGCTATAATTTCTCTCATTTGGGGCAGTTGTAGTTTGAAAATGCCAACATATAACCTTTCCAAAACAAAATTTGGTAATAAATATCAATTGCCTCAAAATGCCTCATATCCACACAAAGACTTGAACAATGATGTCCAAACCAGATTTTTTCTAGTAGTCAAAAACTGGAAACAACTCAAATGCCTATCAATATGTGAATACATTATGATATATCTATATAATATAATTATAGTACTCTGTAACAATAAAATATTGCTATAATAGCAATAAAAACATGGATGGATGAACCTCAAAATAATTATCCTGAGTGAAATAAAAACAAGAAAAAAGAAATGCCTTGTGATTCTATTTGGCTAAAATTCTAGAAAATTCAAATTATTCTACTGTGAAAAAAATAGGTAAGTGGGGTTGCCTAAGAAGATGAAACAGAAGGAAAGAATTACAAATGGATGATATTTTAAATTGTGGTGATGGTTTCATGGGTGTTCACTTACATCAAAATTTATCAAACTGTACACCATAAATATCAACAGTTTTTTATACATCAATCACATCCAATAAAGCTGTGCAAAAGAAATCAAATTCCTTAAAATGTTTTATGTCCCTTGATATAATTCTAAACCTAGGATTTATCCTAATGGAGGAAAAAAAAAAGGAAGCTATTACAAGTATTTAGCCATAAGGATATTCATTATGTACATTATTTCTAATAGCAAAAAAAAAAAAACCAAAAAACAAAAAGCCCAAAAACATTCATTAAATGCCAAAATAAGAAATTAAACTAGTTTTAAAAATCAATTATGAAATATATTTATGTGGCCATTAAAGTATTATATAAAAAACTAAGTCATATGGCAGGATATATATTAAATGCAAAACAGCAATCTAATGTTCAACATAATTGAATTTTTGTTTAAAATTATATAAAAATAAATACATAATTAATCTCTGCATAAAAGTAAAATTTTTGTCACATTCTCACTTAATTTTCACATTTGTGAAATGAATACACAAGGGATTATCCCATTTCACAGAAGAGAAAACAGACATTGACCAGTGCCTCTAATTGAGGCTCAACTATACATTCTAACGGGATTTTCAGAGGAGTAGGAACCAATTACCTTCCTTGACTATTTAAAAATGATTCATACATGAACATAAATATAACCAGTTTTGTAATTATGTTAGTATTTCTATTACAATGTGACAAAAATCTTAGGATTCCTAAATCTCCCACCCCCAAGCTTGGAAGCTATACCCAAGGTAAGTCCATCTCCCCTTTTATCAACATTAACTACCAAACCACCGGAATTGTACAATTTTCTTTTCTTTTTGTACAATAGTACCTTCTCTTCTAAAGGTAGATCAAGAAAGTAATCGTGACTATATTTAAGAATTCTACAGTGACATGCAAACTGATGTCAAAGGATTTAACTTGATAGGACTTTAACATACTACTTTTTGGGCCAAGTCTCTTTCATGAAAGGTACCCAGAAATGAAATAACCCCTAAGCAAGTATATTCTATGAAGAAAACTACCAACTCTTGTCAAGAGTAAAAGTAAACATCCTTAGAGGAATTACAGAGCTGGTCAGTGTCTGCTGATTCCCTGAAGCCTAAGAAACCTTCAAACCTCCTCTCACTATTCTCTCAGGCCTAGGAGTCCTTGTAGGTAACAAAGCTATCTTGCACTGAGCCATTATCATGTGTTAAACACAATGCTAAAACTTTACATACTTGACCTTTGGAAGAATCCTTTGAGGTGACTACATTTATCCCAATGTTATAGTCAAGGAAATTGAGTTTAGTTACCCCAAATCATAAAGCTAATAAAGAGGCTGATCTTGAACTCAAACCTGGCAATGGTTCACTTAAAAAAACAAAACAAAACTCACTCAGAGTCTTGGCAGTTACCTAAAACAAAAAAACTCACTTTTCTCTGGTACTATCTATCTACAACAACCTCAATTTACATAGTTTCAGGTGTCTACCTTTCCCATGTAAGGAGTTAAAAGTATTTCAAGCCCACAATTTGTGTCTGATATTTTGCTACATTCTAAAATTATGTAATGGTTGATCTCCACTAAAGAATTATGCTCACTTTGAGATAACAAAAACTGACAAAAGATAATGTAGACTAAACTACATCATAGGATACTTACAAGATTTTTTATATTAATAAATGGACAAATCAGTTTTATATACAAGTCAGTGAGACTAAATCAGATGTATCTTGAATCATGACAATAAAATGTTTAACCAAGACCTGTCATGTAAAGGTACAAGATCCCAGTAATGAATGTAACTGTACTGTATACCTAGAATGTACCAATTAACTCAATAAAAAGGAAAAAAATAAAATAAAATGTTTAAATAAGCTTATTGTAATTATATTGCAAAATATATGGTGTCAATACATATGTTTTAGAAGGATATTAAATGACAAAGTAAAAAATTGAAATGTTATGAAAACAAGATAATATCCATTTATCATGCATTATAAACAAAGTGGAAAAGTAGGCATTATGTGCTGAAATTAAAACATGAACAAGATAATCACAGTCCCCATGAGATTCAGACAAAACAACACAGATAGAAAATAAATAAAATGAACGAGGCAAAAAACAAAGCAAGTAGACAGGAAGCTATTTTACACCAAATGGTAAGGAAATGAAATTTATATCTAAGTAATCTGAAGACCTAGTATCAAAAATAAGAGCATTTCCAATAGCAAGAATAGCATACGCTACAGCCACAAAGCCAAGAGGACTTGTGTGCTCCAAGAACTGAATGACTAGAGTGGGCAGTAAGAGCCAGGAAGGAGTAGAGTAAGGGGCATAAAATATAAACTAAAATTTATTTTCTTATAACACATGTTACTAAACATATACACAATAATGAAAGGGAAAAGGCCACAATATTAACAGTGATAAATCTAGATTATGAAAAAGAATTTACAGTTTTCTGTCTTAATATAACCTACATTCTCCAAAAGAAGATGTATGAATATTATTGTGATGAAAAAAATAATCTGGGTAGAACTTCCCTTCCAGTACTGAAGTGGAGAGAGCACACATACACACTTGGCACTCAAACCCTAGTGAACGTAACTTAGGCTTTCACTATGCGTTATATTAGATGGAGGTTTTCTTTCCTTTTTATTTCTACTTTCAGAGTTTTTCATGTAAGCACAAGTGTGCTGGATTTTGCGAGATTTTTTTTCACATGTATTGAGATAATGTGGTTTTTGCTCTTTATTCTACTAATGAATATTATATTAATTGCTTCAATGTTAAACTAACCTTTTCTTCTGGAACAACTACCCACAATTAAAGCCATACTAATAAATGAAAAACTAAATGCTTTCCCCCTTAAAATAATGAGGAAGGCAATGATGTCTGATATCGAACAGGACAATAAAGCTAGAGATATGAAGACAAACAGATCAGGAAAAAAACTGTGCTTGCCTGCAAATAACATGGCCTTGTGTTTTTATTATCACAAGGAATCTATTAAAAAACTATCAAAATTTACAAAGGTATAAAACAAAATCAAAGAAAAATCAACTGCATTTCATTTTTATGCTAGCACAAAAATGGATTCCAAAAATAGATTCTAATCATTTAGAATAGCATCAAAAAGAAAATATGTAGAATAAAGTTTTAGAAGTATAAAACTTACAAATTTAAAACTGTAAAACACTACTGTATGAAATTAAAGAAAATCAAAACAAATATACAGTCCTCTTGTATTCAAACAGATTCAACTTATTTTAAGATTCAATAACCTTAATTTGTCAATTCTCCCCCAAATAGATCTATCAAAAACCCTTCATGTTTATCTTTAGAATTGGCCCTAACATATATACAGAAATATAAAGGACCAACAATATAAAAAAATAATTTTAAGAAAGATTTAAGTTGTAGGACTTAAACTCCCTAATATCAAAACTTAGCTAGAAAGTAGCTGCATAGTGCTGGCATAAAGATAGAAATATAGATAATGGAACAGAATGGAAGGCCCAGGATGAATTCTTACTTTGAGGGTCATGATTTTCGACAAATATGCCACATCAACTCAATGGAGAAAGAATAATCTTTCTAATACGTGGGGCTGAAACCACTGGACATCTGCAAGCAAAACTATAAACCTTTCTTTCACAGTATATAAAAATATTCCTACCTTGCAAGCACAAGGTCCTATGTTCAATCACCAGTACAAAAAACAAAACAAAACAAAACACAATACAAAAAATAATAATTCAAGTTGGATCCCAGCCTGAATTTCAAGAATTTAAATAATAAAACTTGAAGAAGGAATAAAGGCAAAATCTTGTGAACTTAAGTTGGGTAAAGATTTCTTAATATAAGAACAGAAACTGTTCAGTTTTTAAAATGAAAGATTTAACACGAAAATCTTCAAATGATATCAGTTAGGTAAAA